GCTTCTTGTGAGTTGATGTAATGTGGTTTGTAATAATATACTTGCAAAAATGAAAGCAAGCTACTTGCCTCAGTGGTACCTTTTTTGTTATTGTTATTCATTGTATGATCTCAGCGTGGACCAAGATACTTTGACCCCCCAGGCAGTGGTGGATGGGGGTCATGCTATAATTGTGGTGAAGAGGGTCACATGAGTGTAAACTGCACTGCTGCTCGACGCAAGAAGCCATGTTTTTTGTGCGGGAGCTTGGAACATAACATTAAACAGTGTAAGAAGGTTAGTGGAATGTGTTGTCATAACATCTATCAGTTTATATGTTGTGGTAGTTGGTATTGGATATACCTGTGCAAATCCACACGCCTTATGTTTATGGATTTTCTATTCAATTCCATGTGTCAGATCGTTTAATATTTCTCCCTCTGTTTTACTTGAACGAGTTTCACATGCATGCCTACTTATTTGTAATTTATTTAACTGTCTGGGCTGAGACACATGCATACTGCTCTAACATATTAAGTGGGAAGCAAGCTATATTGCTGCAAACTCAATTTTATTTCTGCATACTTATACTTATAATCACCTCTGTAATATTATAATTCCGATAACTGATAGTTTACATGGACGAGCTCCGTGAAATTTTATAATCCTTTTTTTATAAAATGAAATTGGGTCCTGCTCGAGATCTTGTAACATTTCAAGTGGACGAGGTTTAGGCCTTAGAGTGAACAAAAAACATCCAGTGGTAGATTTTATTTGCATATCTGGTGTCTTGATAGATTAGGTAAGTCTCTAGTGCATAATCTCTGTGGATTTTTACAGTGGTTAATTTTCTGTCTTGTTAATTAGTAGTACTAAACCACCCTAGATTTTCAAAGATTTCACTGATCACTTTATGTTGCTTTGCATGTTGAATGTGCAAGATTCTTTTCTATGAATGTTGTACATTGATCACACTTCTATCTATCTCTGGACAGGGAAAAGATTGTTTCATTTGCAAGAAAGAAGGCCACAGAGCAAAAGACTGTCCTGAGAAAAACAATGGAGGATCTTGGAGTTCTAAAATGTGTTTAAAGTGTGGGGATTCCGGACATGATATGTTCTCCTGTCACTCTGATTACCACCCAGATGACCTTAAGGTTGGGACTGTTGTATATATATAGCCTTAAGTGGCATTTTCTTTTAATGGTTGCAATACTTATATTTTTGCTCCCTTTTTTTGGCAGTTGATACAGTGTTACATTTGCAAGAGATTTGGCCATCTTTGTTGTGCTGACTATCCTGACAATGGTCCAAGCAAGGTTTCCTGTTACAAATGCGGTTCATTAGGCCATACTGGTTTGGTTAGTATATTTAATGTGAATTTGACACTAAGATTTCTAGAAAGGAGGCATCTACTGAAATAGCAGTCATAAGCTTGCATAAGTTTATTTGCTTAAGAGTGACTGCTGAATCAGTTGATGTTTTATTGTACCCTATTCTGTATGTTGTAAGAAGATACCACATGAACCACGCCTTTCCATTGTGGGCCCATGTTCTATTTTTTGCAAAATTGCAGGCATGTGCTGGATTTCGTGGGGAGAGTAGTGCTACGGGGACCCTACTTACATGCTATAGATGCGGTGAAGACGGTCATTTTTCACGGGAGTGCACATTTCACAGGGTATTTTTCTGGTCCTTTCTTCCAATCCTGAACCTCTCAATGTTATTTGGTGATGTCTCATTTTTTTATTTAAAAATTGTGCCATTACTGTTAGGGTGGTAATAAAAGGAGCCATGATTTATCAACACCCAAAAAGAAAATATTCTCTAATATGAAGGAAGAGTGCATGGGATCCTGGTCTATGCCGATTGATGACTTTGGCAAGAGAAGAAAGAAAAAAGAAATATATGAAGGTGACTTTAGATCAGAGCATAAAATAAAAAGGAGGGGAGGTTGGATTATGGATGATCCCGAAGACTTCTCAGGATACAAAAATAGCTGGACAAGTCATGCAACTCCTAGCAGTAAAAGATCTTGGAAGTACAGCAATGGCAACTCCAATGGTCATGCTTCCAATCCCTGGTCCTCAAGAAAGTCCCATGCACCTAATTTCACTCATTCGCCTTCTTCTGTTTCGTCCAAACACGGACACCACAGGTTTTCAGCCTCCCGGTTTGGTGACAGTAGTCACGGTGGGAGAAGAAACAGTGATTGGTAGCAAAAAGGCCTGTCAAAAAAGGTGTGGCCTTTGTGTGATGTTCTCTGAAAAGGGGCTCTTCTCTGGTTATTATTCTTGTTGGAGTTGATACTCACTTAGGCATTTAGTTGTGCAAACAAGTACATCGGCATGACAGATCGGAACCCGGGCATGACAGATCAGAACCTGGGCATGCCAACAGACATTTGTTAAGATTAAGATTTACTCCCTTACCCCTATTAGCTTTTGAATTATTTTTTAGTCTGGGTGATTGTATTTTCACGGTAATTTGTGCTAAGTTGTTCCCTTAGAAAAGGGAATCAACTATTGTTCCTTATTTTAGAGGTATCAAAATATACTGTAGCCAAATCATGTAACATTGTATTGTTGAAGAGCGGGGTTTGCTTGTAGAATTTGGAAATAATTCTCTTCACGTCTTCGGCCTAATTTTTAGTCTATGATGGGATGTGGCATCTTAGTGACGTTTCCTTCACAACCTGTAGTTGGACCGTATCAAATCAAGCTTGCTCATGTGTAAAGGTGAGAAAGAAAATTTACCATTTCAGAAAATTATCTGTGTTATGAATTAAAATAGAAAGTTGTTGCAGATACGCATAAAACATGGACCATGCGTACAACAACTTTTCTTATTTTGTGTTTAAATCAAGACTCATTGAATTCTAATAATAGAATTAAAGTAAACATTATTTTTTGATAAATCCTTCCTAGTTTTCACCTCCAGTCTACAATCATTTGGCTCTCTTGGTCGTCATAGTTAAAAGTTTTGATATCTACTTTAGAAAATAGTTAGTAGTTAGTACTCTTGAATAACAGTTTAATAATCAAACAGTAAAAACAACATACCTATAAGTCTATAACATTAAAAACATCAGAATACTTTTCAAGATATACTTTTCAATGAGAAACTTAAGCCCAGACAGAACTCAGAGAAGTAGTACTCCTTAATAGATTTACTTTCAAGAAGGAATCAATCATAATTAGGCCTGAGACCGGTTCGGTTCTTATCAAAAATTGGTGGAACCCCGTTAAGAAATGAGTAACTCTTAATATCGGTTCGGTTCTAGTCAAAACTTTGAAGAACCGTTAAGGAATCGAACCATGGCCTAACGGTTCGGTTCTTGCTTTTTATCGGTTCCTAAAAACCTATAAGTCTATAACATTAAAAACATCAGAATACTTTTCAAGAAGGAATCAATCATAAATTCATAATCCGGGTATAAGTTGCGACTCCGATAATAATATTATAACGCCCCCAATAAAAATTGTTCAAATCCCATAGCACCACCTATGCCCAACGAAAAAATCATCTTTCATCTTTCTTTATATTATACTCCAGTTGTTCCATACTCCGTATTTCTTTATTCTGTTTAGTTGCTCCATATTCTTTGGAAATATATGCTCTTTTTCACTTTTGTGGACGTTTATCTTTTTCATGGCTTATTACACAAAAAATTTAGAGTTAGTGAAAAAAATTAATTTATCATACATAATTATTTAAAACCAATCATCGTCTGAATATTTACGATAAAATTATGATTCGCTTCATTCTGCCCATCAATGCCCATTAATTGTGTACCTGGTAATCTTTTTAAAATTATGATTTACAATAAGCTTACTTTTTATAATTTAGAGGCACCATGTCATTAAATTAATTCAAAGTAAAATTCTAATCCATTTGTCAGTGTCCTGTTCACCTACTCCGTATTATCTAACTTTGTCAGTACAATACAAACCCTGTCAATTAAACTCAAATGTGTTGTGCAGAGGAAATTTCTCATCCCGAACACATTGGTTATTCAATTGGGCTTGGGGTACACACATTTGGTACACACACCTACACACTATAAATAGGCCCAAAAATTACCATTTTTTTACCCCTCCCTCACATGCGATTTCTTTCCCCTCCCCTTCCCTCTATTCCCGCAGCTCCCTCCCTCCCCTCTTCGTCGTTTTTTCTTTCCCGCAGCAGAACAACTATCCAAAAAAATGGATTTTCCTGGCTTTGTGAATGAAACTATCATTGATACTACGGTGGACGATTTTTGGGCTGATTGGGCTGAAACAACCGGTGGTTGTCGACTTGAAGGAGATTTTCCGGTGGAGGATGAAGGTGAGCGAGAACCGGCGGCGCCCACGGCTGAACATGACGGACAACCAGAGGCGGCGGCTGAACTTGACGGAGAACCGGCCATGGACGACGTCCCTGAGCTTGGTATGAGTTTGTGTTGTTGGTTTCATTGGCTTTGAACTTAAATATATGTTTGTTCTTCACAGACAATTATTTGTGTTTGTGTAGTGTACATAAATTGTCTGTTACTAAATATACTTATGTCTGTGCTTAAAGTGTATATAAATTCTTTGTTCAAAATGTTATAAGTTTGATTATGTCTGTGTACATTGAGTTTAAATGTCTGTGTCCATATATACTTTTGTCTGTGAGTAAATATACTTAAGTCTGTGCGTAAATATACACCGGCCTCTGGGCAAGTACACTTCTGTTTGTAATGTCTGTGTCAATATACTTCCGTTTACAATGTCTGTGTTTCAATATTCCTCTGTCTGTGTGTATATATGCTTCTGTCTGTGCATAAATATACCTCTGCCTGTGTGCGCAAATATACTTCCCTCATTGCATGTTGACATGGACACATTGTTTAATCATTGATTTATGTGAATGTCGATCAGATGGAGCAATTAAGCAAAATGAGAGTGATGATGGTTCTATACAAGCTCCGGATGTCGGTATGGAATTTGATAGCAAAGAAGCGGTGTATAATTTCTACAAGGCATATGGGAAGCGTTTAGGATTTCCCGTAAGAACTAGGAGTACCACGAAACACAAAAATGGAGTAGATATAGTTGGAGTGTTACTAGAGTGCTCTCATGCCGGTAGTAGATCTACTAGGTCAAAAAATCAATTGAAGCCTCAACCTTCAATGCAAATGGGATGTGGAGCAAAAATACGAGCACACACAAATTATGCGGGACATTGGGAAATTTCAAAAATCTGTCTTGAGCATACCCATGCCATGAGTCCAACTAAGGCTCGCCTATTCCGGTGCTATAGGACTTTGACTCCCCAAGCAATGAGGCAAGTTGCAATCAACGATGTGGCCGGAATACGACTTCATAAAACCTTCAATGCAGCCGTTGTTGAAGCCGGTGGGTATGATCAACTTCCTTTTATTGAAAAAGATTGTAGGAACTACATTGAAAAGGTAAGACAACTTAGGTTAGGGAGTGGTGATGCCATGGCACTTCAAGAGTTTTTTTCTACAATGCAAGCTCAAAGCCCCGGATTTTTCTATGTCCTTGACTTAGATGACGAGTCCCGATTGCGTAATGTGTTTTGGGCTGACAGTCGATGTAGATATGCATACAAAGACTTTGGAGATGTGATAACCTTTGACACAACCTATCTCACGAATCGGTATGACATGCCTTTTGCACCATTTGTAGATGTGATAACCTTTGACACAACCTATCTCAAGTTTGCTAGGTTGCGGATTAATCTCTAATGAAGATACGCAAACATTCGTATGGCTATTCAAAGCATGGCTTGAGTGTATGGAAGGACGTGCTCCGATGGGCATTATTACGGATCAAGACCGTGCAATGCAAAACGCCATCCAAATTGTTTTTCCAAATACAAGAAACTGATGGTGCCTATGGCATATTATGAAAAAGGTACCGGAAAAAATGGGAGGCATTACAGAAAAAAAGAAATCTTGGATGCTATTCATGAATCCATTTATGACTCGCAATATATTCCACAATTTGAGCAAAGTTGGAATGACATGATACAAAGGTACCCTTTATTTCCTTAAAACTATGACCCATTCCTTAAGGTTTTTGTCTGTGAAATAAATGTATGTGTTCGTCACAGGCATACAAAATGTACACCACAGACACAAAAGTGTCTGTGAGAAAACATTGTATCTTTACTTCATATATATTTTAAATATTATTTCAGGTATTCCCTACAAGATCATGAATGGCTTGTAGTGATGTACAATGAAAGACACCGGTGGGTGCCATGCTTCTTAAAGACATTTTTCTGGGCGGGTATGTCTACCACTCAACGAAGTGAAAGTATCAATGCTTTTTTCGATGACTTTGTGCATTCCAAAACTAGTCTTAAGGAATTCGTTGAACAATACGGACGTGCATTACGAAAGAAGGTAGAAAAAGAATTTCACGCCGATGCTAGTTCGTTTGCAAAAACAATTCCTTGTGTTTCATCATTTGAAATGGAAGAACAAGTCCAAGAAATTTACACCCTAGCTAAGTTTAAGGAGTTTCAAGATGAACTTGTAGGTCTTTTGTATTGTGATCTAATACAAAGCGAAGGAGATAGAAAATTTCATGTTAAGGAGGTCCGAAAGATAAATGGGTTTCGAAAGACCATTGACTTTGTTGTTGAATATGATCCACTAACTACATTTGGAATATGTAGTTGTCATTTGTTTGAATTTAGGGGCATTGTATGTAGACACTTGATTGTGGTCTTACGTCGGCTTGGATTGGATTTCTTACCCGAGATTTACCTATTGCCAAGATGGAGGAAAGATGTTAAAAGAGCTTACACAAAGGCGAAAATAAATTATGATGGGTGGATCACAATGGTGGAGCAAGAACGATTTAATAAGTTGTGCAAAACTTTTGAATCACTTGCAAATATGATTGCGGATGTTGAAGATAAGTACAAAAGTGTTCTTAATTGGTTGGAGACTCAATTGTCGACATATACTCCTCCCCAAGCTCCTCGGTCTTCCATATGTGGCAACCTAACATCTATCCCACAACCGAGTAGTCGTGTGCAATGTGAGGTTCCAAAAAACATAGGAGATCCTAAGTGTGTAAAGCGCAAGGGTGCTCCGAGGAAAAACCGTCAAAAAGGACCATTGGAGAAAGAGAAAAAGAAATTGGGGGCTAGGAATGACATTGGAAGTGCCCCACAAGGTAGCGCTGACCATGGAAATACACAAGAAGATCGTAATGACATGATGAAGTATAGTGGTTTAGATTTAAATCTGACTTTGATGTAAATGTGCATGCATGTTTGTTCACAGACATTTATGTAATACGTCACAAACAAATTTGTTGGTCTTCACAAACAAAAGACGTGTTTGTGGGCAATTTTTTGTGTGTTTCAGAAATGTATTTTTTTGTAATGACTGTTTTTGAAACACAAATCACAGACAAGTACGACACAAATCACTTTGATGTTAGAAACTTATTTTTAAACTTAATAAATTAGTGGAATATGAAATCACATAAAAGTTATTGAATTTAAAGTTATTGAATTTAACATTACTCACTTATCTACTTTGGATTACTTTTATTTATTACAGACAAGTACGACAGAAATCACAGACAAAATCGTATTACAGCACAAACACATTACACAATGGGTTACATATACTACTATTTAAACAACAACGAAGTATAAAATAACAAGTAAAGTTTTTCACATAAAAGTAATTTAATTTAAAGTTATTGAATTTAACATTACTCACTTATCTACTTTGGATTACTTTTATTTATTAACATGTTAGATTAGAAATATTCAAATTATAAAGTCAGTAATAATTTATAAAAATCGTGATTTATTTTATTGCCCTCTCTTATACAAATTTCAACTGTTATTTATTTTTGGCGAAATGATACCAATTTTCTCTAAACATTGAACATAGTTGTTATTAATTACATAAAGTAGTTATTAATCACATATAACAACACACAAATCACAGACAAAGTCGTATAACAGCATACACAAAGTTTTTCTTCTTCACAAGCAAAAGCATCCTTCGTATATATATATGTTGCCACAAAAACCAAAAGTAAGTGTATGCCACCAATTCTAGTGATCCTTGGGAGTACATTCTAGGACATTGTACAACATTGATAGTGTAACACTGTACAACCTCCTATATAATGTTAAATAAATGTTGTACACCCAAACACATCCTCCAATAATTATGTCTAACTCGATCGCTTCCTCAAACTCCACAACCTCATTGCGAATTCACATCTTTTCGCTGCCATGTTCTCATACGCACACTCGGGCAGCAATGGCAACTTCTGCAACAGTGCTTCAGCATAGGCCATAACCATGACGCCGCAAACACCGGACCTGGACACACAATAATTAATACAGACATTACATTTACATGCACATACAAACTATATTTGTGTACAGACAAAATAATATCCACAACACATGAATGTACCCGGGGTGCTGTTGTGGAACATCGTCCACTGCCTCTGTCACGCCCCGGACCGCGTCCGTGCCACGTAGACAACCGCCGTACAACCCAATAAGAACAACGTAGTTCATTCTTATTAAATCATACAAGGCGTCCGATAGATTCTGTTGCCAAACCGATTAGTAAACCCATACAATCAACATCAATATATATTGGTCAAACAAATGCGGAAAATAAGATATGTTTGATACTTAGCCACACGTGGCAAATACGGGCACGCAGGCCCCCAAATGTTTTAATAGAAAACATTGTTAGAAAAGCATCCATGAGCAGTTTATTAATTTTGAAGAAGAATGGAAGCACGAACCACGTCTTCCTCCTCGATCAATCACCCTAGGCAAAGGTGCAGGTAGTAGGACTCTAGCCTTAACCTGAAAAAATGTGAGGGCCCCCAAAGGGGTCAGTACTCCATAGAAGTACTAGTGACAAGCAGGCTATATGAGGAATAACTAATGTTTCAGACACGAGACCCAAAAATAGGATGATACATATATTTATAGGTGTAACCATTGTTACCCCATTCCCAAGATAATACATACTGTATATACTTGTAAAATACTTGACCCGTGGGTCGTTTTCTCACAAAAAATCTTTTAGAGATATGGTACTTACCCAACCTTTCCCCTTTCATTCCTGAATGCCTAGCTCACAAGCTACATTCTACTTTCATAATATCCTACCGAGTTTCGGGAGTATTTACCGTCCCGGGGATGCTCAACCCCAACCGAGTTTTAGGATCATTTACCGTCCCGAGGATGCTCAACCTCAACCGAGTTTTAGGATTGTTTACCGTCCTGAGGATACTCAACCTCACCGAGTTTTAGGATTGTTTACCGTCCTGAGGATACTCAACCTCACCGAGTTTTAGGATTTTTTACCGTCCTGAGGATACTCAACCTCACCGAGTTTTAGGATTGTTTATCGTCCTGAGGATACTCAACCTCACCGAGTTTAAGGATCGTTTACCGTCCCGAGGATACTCAACCTCAACCTTATTCCTTACCAACCCTAACTTGGATATGGCTAACCTTTCATTCACTTAACTATGGACAATACCTAATCCTATAGTCATGTAACAATCCTTAGTAACCAACGTGGACGGGTCCCACCTGATCGGTCCACGTTAACCTACTCAAAAACTACCCATTTTGAGTATAACCCAATACTCGATCGAGTACCCACCTATACTCGGTCGAGTACAGGAGACAGCAACCCGTAAGGCTAATCTTCCATGCATACTCGATCGAGTACCTATCCATACTCGATCGAGTATAGGAGGCAGCAGCCCGTAAGGCTAATTTTCCATGCATACTCGATCGAGTACCTATCCATACTCGATCGAGTATAGGAGGCAGCAGCCCTCTGGGCAGTTTTTCAGCAAATACCCGGTCGGGTATTTGCCAATACCCGGTCGGGTATTGTAGTTGACTTGGCGGTCAACGCCCGTTTGACCGCCCAAACGGAGTCCGATTAACGTGAAATTTTACATGCATGTACTCCTTGAAGTCCTTGATCCAAAAATACCTGTTTTGGTCCTTGGAACATCACACATCTCAATTTATAATCATTTCACTAATCAAACCTACATTTCATGCTTTCCAACCTTGTTATAGTTCTTAACATAACATAACACATGCTTTAATACCATTAATCAATTCATAAAATATATTATTGATTAATTTAGGTAATCTCATGCCTCACGCAAAAGTTATAAAGCATATAGCCGTCTTCTCACCTTATTGAAGCTTATGAAGTTCTAGCCTTCCCGGTTTAGCCCCAGTGAAACTCCGGTGAACTTCAACGAACTCCGGCGACAATTCCGGCGACCCTTTAAACTCCGTGAAAGTCCTTGAAGTACCTTATACAAGTTAACAACAAGGTTTCATCATCATGAAACCCATATCAACACAAATAACCTCTAAAAGGTTATTCCCCGGCAACCCGTCAACTTTGCTCTCAAAGTTTGTTTTGGGTATGAACCAACCCTCCAACTCCCATTCTACACCTTTACACGTGTAGAACTATACTAGGAGTATGAAATATGATTATAGTGAAGAAATGGGGTTAATGAAGTCATTACCTTATTAACCACAAGTTTTCCTTCTTTTTCTCTCCTTTCTCTTCTTCTATTTCCTTCCTTCTTCCTCCCCTTGCTTAGGTGCGTGAATGGTGGCTTCTATGGAGTATTTTCAGAGCTTCTCTCACCAATGAGGATGGTATGGACGAGCTGCAATGAGTTGGGGTGATTGAGAATGCCTTTTTGGCATTTCTCTCAATAATGGCATGGGAGAGGTCCCATCCATTTCATTGTTTGATCCCAATCACTTCATGCTCCCTCCTCCTTTCCCTTCGTGCGGCTCCCCTTGGCAATTGCAGCATAAAATCGTGGGGATGGCCCCCACTTAGATGGGTGGTCATCCCTTGCGTCCCCGAGTGTATACTCGGTCCCGAAAGTTGTATTTCCCGGACTGTGTTAACTATATTTCATTTTATCGGGTAAAATGAAATATCTCTCATTCTTCAAATTATTATTGGCTATAAGAATGAATGTACATCCCCCAACTTTTAATTTGATGATCTCCATAATTTATTATGGCTTTTTATCTGATATTACCTCGGTACCGATAAATGGGCTTTATATGCCCAAAAGGTTACTCTCATAACTTCTATGGCCCAACCAGGTTACCCACCATTATACACATATTATCTTGACCCAAATGAATATAATATGTGGTCCCGATATTATCGGGCGGCCCCCACTTCCGGTGTGGGCCCCACGTGAATTTTACTATTCACGTAAAAGAAATGATAAAAATTCACAATCACGTAAAATGCGTTTATTCATTTCTTGGGTTCAATACATAATTTGATAAAGTACAAATACTTGGGGGCGGTGTTACAGCCTCCGCTTTCCAAGGCTGTGAATTTGCTGTGGCGCTTAGAGCAGGGTTGCATTTTATGACTCGAAACAGGTGTGGAAGTCTCAAACACAACAGCCTCACAGATCCAACTAACCTACGGGTCTTCATAGAATCGTATACCCGTACGATTCTATTGACAAGGTCAATTTCAGACAGCACCCAGTGTTTTCCATCACTGTGCAATGGCATGAACACCTGCACATGCAATAAAGTAGTTAAGATATTAGTGAACATAGTATGTATTCTAGCCTTGTTCTCTATATGTTATATATAAAGTGACTTAATATTTTACTATTTTGGAGACAAACCTTATCATACCGGCTCCAGTCCATTTTGTTAAGCAATCGATCCCCACTCCATTGTGAATCGTCATCTATATTCTTCCGTAAAAGTTGGTACTACACCAAAAACAAAATTACAGACATAACAAGTCTTACACAGACAATACTTTATCAATTCACAGACAAGTGAAGTTCAAAAGCACAGACACAATTTAAACTTTTAATCACTTACCGCGAACAAAGGACTCAAGAGTTCATAGGCCTCGACGTGTATGCATTCGCGAAACAGAAGAACAAGTGCATCCAAATGCTAAAAAAGTTTTATCAAAGCCTAAAAAAACCATTGAACTAAAATATTGTAAAATGAAATAGTCCATATATTCACTCACCTGGCTGCTTAGCCATCCGGTTTCATCAATTAGTTCTCGGAAGAAGGCCCTATTTGTCGGGTAAGATGATGGGATAGCTATCTCAATTACGCACGGTTCAACCTCATCATCTTCCTCCACCCATGCCTTGAAGGATTGACATTCTTCATCACTTTGTTGTGGTAGAGCTCGGTTATTGGTGCCTCCAACCTTAGGCCTCTTTGCGGCGGGAGCTATGAATGGGCTGCAAATGTACTTTGATGGCAACCTCTTTCTCTTCCTCATTTCTTTCATAGTAGCTTCTTCGAGGGCCATCATGTCTACACCGCCGGTTCCAACTTCATCACCAAGGTTCCAATCCAAGTTTGCAAAAGGAGCGTGGGGTGTCAAAGCAGAGTCATCTCCCACCTGCACAAAACATTAAAAACTAGGGATCATATATACGCACACACAAATAAATGTCTGTGAGGACAAGTTTACTATGCCTGTGCACGTAATGTCTAATGTTTGTGTGATATACATACTGTCTGTGAATATAAACAAATTTTACAAATGACAATGTGAACCTCATTCAAGGAGATCAAAAGATCTGTGGGAGTGGGACACTCCTCATACATGTGTTCTTCAAGAGTACCCTCCTTCAACTTTGAAATAAAGGAAAAGTTATATTACCCAAAACAATCATGACCAACAAATTTTTTTGAAAGAATAAATGATATGAATGTATCATTGAAGATACCTCAGCCACTACATTCATTACAGGATCAGTTTGTAGTCCCTTTTGTTGTTCACCAACAACATCGTTGGCGTTATCTTCTTCAGCCTAACAATTGGTAAATCACAGACATATCTCAGTCATATATCACATTGACACAGACAACACGAAAGAGTTATACAGACAAAACTTTGCTAAATACAGACACTATAAACTCCACACGACAATAACATTTTTTTAGTTGGTCTTCAACAACTTAATTTGCAATTATTAAAACCCAAACCCAAGATTATCCAAAAACATACCTCAGTTGCAATAGGCTCAGTAAACATATTCTGATCTTCAGGAATAACAGGAACATAATTATCTCCTTCACCCTAACCATTATTTATACAGACATTTATTAGTTAAACACAGACAAGACGATATGTACGTAGTCATAATACATGGCTACATACAGACACATAAAATAGCACACAGACAATTAAATGTTATACCTTTTCCTCATAGTATAAAATGAAAACCCGTAAGGTAGAAAACTACATACCACGGTCCCAGCATTGTCAACACCATGTGTAGACATATTTTGATCTTCACCATGCGGTGCACAAACTTGTGTGTCTTTTTCATGATGACTTGGGGCAGATGGACCCCCCCTTACAAACCAACAGCAAAGTATACAGTAAGAGTACATACGAACAAGAATTTACTTAATACAGACAACAGAAAATCACAACACAGACATATCATATATAACAATTTATACCTTTTCCTGTAAAGCAATGTTGACTTTATCAATAACCTGAAGCAGCAGGTCTTTTACTCCACCAAGCTGCTCATCCACCCTTTTCTCCAGCCTTTGAAGACTTGTTTTGATTTCTTCAATGTTCACACACATTTGTTGCACCCTTTCCCTTGTTTGTACTTCAAGATTGTCTTCATCTTCATCTTCATTATCGGAAGAAGGGGGGTAGGCACCTCCTTTGAAAACAAAAACATGACTTAGTATTATAAATATATACGAAGTATATTAGGGGACAATTATAATAGGAATGATAAAGAAAGAAGACTTCACATTAGCAAAGCAAATATTCCGTATCGTAGAGGCCCGAAATTTCACATGACATGACCAATTCAATATTGGGACTTCATGATTACCAACACGTGTGCCAAAATGTTCCCCAAAATTAGGTAACTTTTCATATGCCCACACCTAAATAAAAGAAGTATAATTTAACAAAGAAATATTCAGGAACACAGATCATAAACATGTGATCAATCAAAAACATGTCTGGGAAGGAAATGTATTGTTTGTGAGCAATCAAAAACATGTCTGGGAAGGACACTTTTGTCTGTGAGCTATTATATGCTGTTTGGGAAGGATAATAAGTGTGTGTAACATGAATAGAAATGTCTGGGAAGGTCAAGTATTGTCTGTGGCAGACAATACTTGTAGATTACAGTAAAAAATGATACAAAGTAAATATGAATCATACCTGTAGGAGCAATGGGAAACCGTAGACCGAGAACTTTGCATTTTTGTAATCAGGGTTGTTAGCTTTATTGTCGAAAAACTTCTGTTCCTGGCCATCAAGAAGCTTCTTTAAATCGGTTACCAGCGAATGGTAGGCGTCTCTGGACCACGGCTCCTTCTTGAACTCCTCAAAGTCATTTACCAGCTGAATAGACCTCCTGCTAATCCTTGTTGACCTGTCTCTTCCGAGCAATACGTTCTCAATCATGTACAAGGATGCAAGCTTCACACCTAGCATCGCTCTGCCTTTTCTAGTAGGACGCACCATTTGAACCATCTCCTTCAACTGCAAGTAAGTGATATCCAAAGATCCTTTAAAGTATGTGGTAGCAACCTCCCCAGGTTCTTCCACTTCTTCAGCCTGTTCATCAGAGTTTTCTTCAACTTCTTCGGCCACGACAGGTCTGGGGGCTGCCACTGGTAATCCGGTAATGCGGCAGAAATCATTGTATGTGAATTCTACAATTTTACCCTCCACATTGAACCAGAGCTCATCTTCAGGCTGTTGCTTCACAAGGCGTAAGAGCAACATGTGCACAATTTGGGCACAAAACTGAAAGTCCGGTATATCCAAAAGGTGACCCCACGGTGTGTTCCGGAATGTTGACAATTCTTTCTTAGACAACATGTCGGTAATGCACTTCCTCGCACATTTGTAGTCAGAACACATAGAATACTGTGCAGGGAAATGCTTGCTCAATGGAATCTTAAGTTCAAGTGCCCTGTGATTGCAAGGAATAAGTCATAAGCAAACAGACATATGTTGAGTCACGTACACAGACAAGTATTGAGTTAGATACAGCCATACCCCCAGTTATTTATTGGGCTGAGTACTCTAATGAAGTCAATCCTAAAAGTTAGATGCTAACTGCTATACAGACATACCAAGATTAAGTGGGGTTAAGCTCAACATAAATGCAATTAGATGGTATTAAGTGGGGAAAAAGACAACACCACTTTTTTTCTTGATTATGACTAGAGAGTTGAAGGTAAGTATGGCTGGCTGTGAATTCTTTTTTAAAAACTTTCCTTCAACAAAACCTGTTTTACTCTTATATCGTTGTGTACAAGTACAGACATTAATATTATGCACACAGACATATGTGGAGGATTACAGACACATATAATTCTTCACAGACAAACTCAGCCAGAGAGCCAATTGGTCATTGTGTACAAGTACAGACTTACCTAAGAGGCACACAGACATATGTACACAGATACAGACAATCATAGAAGCATAAAATCAACCTTACACAGACAATACATATTCTTCAAAATCCAATTTAATATCATCAAATTGCCTAAAAGTGTAAAAAAAAATCAAAAACTAAGGACAAGGATACATACCTTTCAGCCATGGTTGATAGCGGGGTTCAGACCATTGTCAACTGAAACGGAGGTTGGCAGGAGGAGGGTTCGTGGCGACGACTGTGCGTGGAGGGTTAGTGGCAACGAGGGTGGAGGGTTAACGGCGACGAGGGTTTGTGGATGGTTAGCGGCGTCGAGGGTTCGTGGATGGTTAGCGGCGGCGACAGTTCGTGGATGGTTGGCGCCGGCGAGGAACCCTTCGTCGAAGGGAGAAGGTTGGCGACGGGGTTTGGGAAGTGTGATGGGCGAAGGGGCAGGTGGGATGCGCGAGGGGGGGTGGTGGGATGCGGGAGATTTTTTTGGGAGCGGGAGAGATTTTTTGGATGTGTGCACGTGTGGAATTGGCTGAGGTGGGGAAAGGGGGGTAAATTTTTTTTGGATTATTTATAGTGTGTATGTGTGTGTATGGATTTTGTGTAACACTAGAAAATTTGTTGGTCATTTAAATACTCCGTAAAACATTGTAGCTCAGATGGAGAGAACATGTAGACACTTGAGGAATTCAAATGGATGGAATTGGACTTGCCATATTTTTTTCTTGGATACTAAAAAATATGACTACTTTTAAATAATTTTGTATACAATAGACTAATTTTGTCACAAACTCTATATATTGGACTTTTTGTGTAATAATCCTTTTTCATCTATTACTTGTTAGTTTTTCTAATCTCTTACACAACATTGGTTAGTTCAGTTGTTACACTTAAGTTACATAGGAACCCTACATCTGCAACGGGAAAAAACCGGAGAACTCGTGAATCCTTAAAATATACTACGTATAATGTAATTATAAGTACTAGTTTATGTGCTGTTAAGGTAGCATATTTTAATGTCGAATTAAGGTAGCATGTTTCAATATTTTAATCCTACTCATGTAATCTCACTTCAAATTAGGGTGTAATGTACTAAATTCATAATTTTCATGCTAAGGTTTAAAATGACTAAGGTAGTTGATTGTGTTCAAATTATTTAGATTGTGATAAGACTAGGAGCCCGTTTGGTAGCACCAAAATCGGCTGTTTTGGCTGATTCTGCTGAAATTTATGATATTCTGGCTGGAGTGGCTGTTTTGGCTGATTCTGCTGATTTAAGAAAAAAATATTTTAAAAATATATTTTATTAATAAATTAAAGAAAAAATTATATGTAAAAATAGCTAAAATGGTCCTCTACAGTAACTTCAGCCAATACAGCCAGAAAAGTAACTCCAACCTTACTTTTTCGGCTTATTACACAATTCAGCGCGCGAAAGTAAAAGTTACGTGTTTGGTGAAAAAGCTGGCTGATAAGCCTGATAAGTCGAAAACAGAGTTCTCCAAACGGGCTCTAGATGTTGTTTACTTATGGAAGAATTCTATTTAATTTCTTTAAATAAAATACAGAGAATGTACATGAAGTTACACCACAATCTTCATATTCAGTTATTTTGTTCAAAATACGTAATACCGAACTTACTAATTTTTTCATTATTAATATCAATGAAAAATGTTTGATGAGAATGTGATTGATAAATACTGTACTAATTAAAAGGAGACAATTAAATGAGCACTAAAGTGAAGGGAGCAAAGACTCACGTGTAGGGCTATTTGTAGACCATAGGACAAGGAAGGTGAAATGGACAATGCCAGCCACGGCCACAAAAGCTTTATACGATGAAGTAAACAGTAATGTGTGGCTAATGTGAACTTGTACCTTCCCTCATTCTATCCATCTATCTTTGGCCTGCCAGCGATGGCATGACCACCTACATCATCATGCTCGAATGAATTTTGTCAGACCAGTACACCACACTTTGGACCATCTACTTGAGCTATATTTTTGGCTTCACGCCAAGGGAAATGGATTGAAACTAGGGAAGCTTAGAGTGTACACATGTTCTTTTGAAGTTTTTCTTTTGTCTATCATAGACAAAACACGTTTTGTTTGAGACAGACAAAAGAAAAACTTTCACACGCAGTGTTTACTTTAATAACCCATGTTTTTAGCTTATCCCTTTTATCAATCAACATTTTATCAAATATTCAAATTTGATTTTACGCGTTGAATTATGTAATACTTCATCTGCCTCTATAATTGTCCCATTTTTTCCATTTTTGGATATCCACCTATTATTGTCTCATACCATATTTGGTAACATTTGTGTGGCTCTAGTTCATTCTTACTTTATTCTCACTTTACCAACTCATTATTAACCACATACATAATTCTATTTTTCTTAAAAACCACACCACTCCCTTCCGTCCCAATATTAGGTGGACGGAGGCACTGGCGTATTCAGGAATTGTTGTGAGTGGGGGGCAAGTTCATACATTTGCATTTTATTCCCACTTTCTTAAACTTCGATCCAAGTCAAACCGAAAAGAAATTTATAATACTTTAAGAAAAGTATTATTTCAAGCATGTCACAAGCAGCTGAACACTTTAAGAAAAATAGTACAAAATTCATTATAAATAAAAATTAATCGGTCACTTAAAAAATATGAAATCTTTCTTAGTAAATTTGACACACAAAAAAATTATTTTTTTGATGATATGAATTAAAAAATATGCAAATAATATAAATAAAATCTATATGGGGCACCCGTGGGCATCCATGGGAGATAACGGGGCGCGGGGCGGATTTGGGAGTAACGGGTGATGGGGCAGGGATGGGGGAGTGAACCTCTGCCCCGAAGGCCGAACCCGCCCCCGTTGCCATCTCTACTTATAACATCCTAGGTGTATGTTTTAAATAGAGAAGTGTATTCGAAGTACTACGTATAAAGAAATACGAAGTAGCTATTTAGACTCTAATGCACTTTTGTATTGTTTATGCAAGCTTTTGGAAAAATTAAACATATACTCCCTCCCTCCCAAATTGATGTCCCTCCCAAATTGATGATCCTATACTTTTCATGCTCAAATATTAAGAAAAAGTGGTAGAAGGACCCATATAACTTTACTTTATTGTATTGTTCACTCCTTTACTTTTACTGTTCATTACAAATGAGGGATATAAATGATAATCTACTTTAATTTCTTTACAAAAAATGAAAAGATGACTATCATCATTTTGGGACGCCCCAAATAGGAAATACAGGACCATCATTTTGGGATGGAGGTAGTATAGAAGTCGTAAAGTTTGAACAAATTAGCATAGCCTTTTTCAAATAGTTTCAGTAGGGATGGGTTCCTTAACCGAAATCCCCCCCACACACACACAAAAAAAAACCGCGCATAATTGTGAAGTAAACTTAGAGATGGTTCTGTATGGTATACCGAATATTTTCTCTCATATCTTTGCCGTACCAAAACTTTCGGTATACAAAATTTATATACTGTTACTATACCTTACTGAAATTTCGGTATACCGCATTTCGGTATACCGAAGTTTCGGTTCGATAACGGTACGGTATCGGTAAATTACCTTGCATGTCTCCCAATATAAAAAATTGTCATAGACTAACGAAATATATATTGTTAAAATGTTACCAAATGCAATTAATAATCTATTGATGTCAATTCAATATTGAACAATAATTATTATTAGTATATTTAAGTATTTTAACATGCCACGTATTAAAAAACAACACATTCTCCTACAATAACTTGAACAATATAAATATAATTAACTCAATAGTGATCTCTAACAAAAATAAATAAAATTATTCAAACAACATGGATATAAATGAAATGATTTATTCCCAATATGGTATTGTGCATTTAGTCATTTTATAATTTAAAAAAAATATTTGAATAAGATTTTCAGACAAAGTTGTGTGTCTCGACTCGCAAAATCCCTATTAGATAAACTCGTCACATACGTGTATCTCTCTTCACTCGTCAGCTACTAAGCGGCTCAGCTATCGCAAGCTCTTGGAACAAGATGGACTTGTTTCTGGACATTAGTACATTACTTATTAGTCATTAGGATTAGTTTGTTTGAATGTTATGTAGTGGAAGCCTAGAAGGTTATAGTGAGTTTAGGAAATTGGGCTTTTATTTTTGTATTTTGGTATTTGCAATCAACCTAAGTATTAATTTTGGACTTCACAATTGTAATGGATTTTTAAAATATTTTAGAATTAAAAGTAATTATTGGGTAGGGAGTCGGTACGGTATTATACCGGTATACCGCGGTATTTGAAAACATTTACCGTTACCGTACCGAAATAAATCGGTACGGTATGATACCGTACCGAAAATGACGGTATACCAATATTCCGGTATTTTCCGGTACGGTAAGTGCGGTATTCCGATATTTCGTTACTTTTTCCCACCCCCTAAGTAAACTATAGTTGTTTGAATCCATTTTGATTTCAGCCTTTTAAAATCGAACCGGACGGAATCAGCCAAATTAATTCATATAAGAAAATATACTTTTCAATTTGGACTCTCTCATCTCTTTCTCTAGGGTTCCCGCAAGGTAATCGCTAGCTTCAATTTGTCCGCTATCGGCCATTGCAGAGGAGCGGGGCTGGTTTTTCCGGCCAATTGTTGGAATTGGAGAGTCTTCTCTCTAGAGGTCATCTCCCTACGAGTTAGGGTTTTGTTTCTTCCGCTTTTGTCATCGATGAAGAGCGGCCGTCAGTCGATTTCGGTCATGCAAGCAGGCTCGGGATCAGGGATGCATCGCTTTGACGGTCAGGGCTCGACTTCTGCTGTTGTTTCTGGTCGAAGGTCGAGTGTTGACAAAGAAAAGGTGGATAAGCTGTAGCGGAGTATGGCTTCGATTCAGCAACAAGGGATGTCAAAGGAGGATATCGTCAATCAAAACAAAAACATAACTATTGAGGCGGATGAGCGGCGGACGCGTCCCCCTCCCGAGCCGCCGCCATGGAGTGCAAGCAAGTCTAGGGTTTGGAAGAAGATGACTGAACTCTGTTTTAATTCCGTTTTATTATGTTTGCATGTGTTTTTCTTTCGAATTGCATGTTATTTTGGATGTGTTCTTATTTCCTAGCAGAGATGTTCTAGAATTTAAGTCAGGTGATGAGAAGTCTGGTTTGCCAGTCATTGGTTCAGTTAAACCCATTACAGGATCAACGAATATTATTGCTTCTACAGAGGTGATATATTCTAAGTCTGCTTCGAGGGCGGACGACAAACATAAGGCTTTTTATCGCTTTGTTTACTTCTTTTTCGTTGATTATATTATCAGCCATGTAACGAACGTTATTTTGATTGAATAAATTTGTTGGATTTGATGATAAAAATATACTTTTCACCGTTAAGGATTACCGATTACCCTCAATAGGGGTGGACAGATATACCGAACCGACATGGTACCGAATCCGACCGATATGTTACCAGACCGAAAAATGGGGTTTGAAGTGGATCTTAATTTTTTTAATCCCGAATCGGACTGTACCGGTTCCAAACAATGTCATGACCGGTTCTCATAAAGTGAGAACCGGTATCGGACCGAAGTATGATTTAATTACTACGTATTTAAATTTACATTTCTACCATTAATTACTTTGGGTAGTGCCTTCGTACTTTCACAACCTTTTCTAGTTTACTTGAAGCTTGGAACTAGACTGAAGTATGATTTAATTATTTTAATTTGTACTACTAGTTATTAATTATGTAATATGAAAATTAATAAATTGTGTGGATTTTTGGAGGATGATAAACTTTAATTTTTTGTTAAACACTTAAAAAAAGTGGCATTGTTTGGTATTGGCACGACACGGTACCGTCCCGTTTGTAAATTGAACCGTACTGAACAGGTTTAGGTCTAAGACCAAACTGAACCGTTTCAATAGTCACGGTACGGGTTCGGCCAAATATTGGACTGGACCGGACCGTGCCCACCCCTAACCCCCAATATCATTGTTAGAAAATTAATATTTTCTATTATACTTATCATGAATTTCTTGTTTAAGATGTTATATTTGTGATTTGGTTAAGTTTGCAAGATTCATTTGTACTTTCATTCCGTACAATAATACAACTATATATTGATCTATTAATTTGTTCATGTATGTATTTGGAGTTTATATATGTATATATTTGTGATGTATTTTTTTGTATTCATCTCAATTGTATGTCATAGAATATAGTACCTCCGTTCCTCATTTAATTTCACAGTTGGACTTTCACTATCTACAATATCACGTTTGACCGGGATATATAAAGATATGCACTTACAAAACTTATAATAAACCAACATTTTATTAATAATATATATTAAAACGAAGTATTTAAAATTATTTTGGTATTATAAAATAATACTCCGTACGATTTTTGAATATTTAACGGTCAAAGTTAACAAAATTTGATCCAAAAAGTCAAACTGTGAACTTAATTGTGGGACAAATTGCCACTTTTAATCTCTGACTATTGTGTCAATGACACATTTGATACTCGAATTTTAATTTTTCTATTCTTAGTCACTCAACTATTATGTAAATAGACTTTTAGTCTTCGACTTTAAAACTTTCCACGTCTAGTTCCCTAAGTATTGTCAAATCGATGCTTTTAATTCTTCAACTATGACTTTGGCATAACAAGAGGATGGCTGAAAATGTCACTATGATAATAGTTTTTTTATCATAAAAACAAACTGCTTATATTAATATCGTTAAGACTCGGATTGTTACAACAAACTCACAAATATCAACCCTGACAACAACTATCCCTAACCAACTAGCACTATCAACCCTACGGCTAGACTCAGAGAGTTAGAGACGATCACCCCTGAAAGAGCAATATGAATCGCTAACCACCAAACGGGTTTTACACAACAATCATTCCTTATTGTAGACATAAAACTAAAGACATCAA